GGGCGAAGCGAGAGGCCTACGCGCCGGCCCCTCCCTCTCCTCCCCCCCCCTCCTCCTCGCGCTCTTCGGGGCCGGGAGCCGAGGCGCCCCCGGCGGCGCCCGGCCTCCTCCGAGCCTCTCCCCACTCACCATGAGCTCGATGGTCTTGTCCTCGATCACCGGCTCCGGCTCCATCGCGGCTGGGGCGGCGGCTCCTCCTTCTCGGCGGGGGAGGAGAACCCCCGTCTTGACCCGCTTTTTCCCCCCTTCTTCTTCTTCTTCTTCTTCTTCTTCCTCGGGGGGACACCGGCCCTGTGAGGAGGAGGAGGAGGAAGAGGCGGCCGTCGCCGGCTTAGACAAGACCGACCGACTCACCTCCGCCTCCTTCTCGGCCGCGCGCCCGGAAGAGGAAGTGAGGCGGCGGGTCTGGTGGCGGCACTACTACTACCGCCACCAACGGCGGCGCCGCCTTCCCTGAGCCGCAGGGGAACGGCAAGCCACCACGAAGGGGGGAGGGGGGAGGGGGGACTACCACTCTTCCCAGGCTGTGCGGCCTGCGGCGAGGAACGGCCACCGCGACCTGCATGCACCGCGGCAGGAGGAGAAGAAAAAGAGGGTGCGCCTTCGCTACCCTACATCCTTTGCGGCGGGCGTCTTTAAAAAAAAAGACAGAGAGAGAGAGAGAGGCGTGTTTCCCAGCATGCAAAGCGATGCTTTCCCTTTTAGGAACCGGGAGAGCTGCGTTAGTCTATTGCGGGGGAATTAATCACTAGGCGAGTGACCGGGATTGTCAGAGCTGGACGGAGAAAGACCGGGCGATTTGGGGAGGGGTGGTATGCCAGTGGGGTATAATGCCACAGGGTACTCTCCAAAACTGCATTTTCTCCAGGTGAAGTGATCTCTGTTGCCTGGAGATCGACTATAAAAACGGAGGCTCTCCAGCCTCCACCTGAAATAGGAACCGGGAGAGCCGCGTTAGTCTATTGCGGGGAAATTAATTACTAGGCGAGTGGCCGGGGTTGTCAGCGCTGGACGGAGAAAGACCGGGCGATTTGGAGGGTGGAGCCTGCGGAGCGTGGGGTTTGGGGAGGGGCGGTACTCCAGTGGGGTATAATGTCACAGGGTACTCTCCAACATTGCATTTTCTCCAGGTGAAGTGATCTCTGTTGCCTGGAGATCGACTATAAAAACTGAGGCTCTCCAGCCGCCACCTGGAGGCTGGCAACCTCACGAGTGGCTTTCAGAAAGTTTATTTTTTAATTAACTGATCATAAAGCTGTCCTAAATCAGAGCTCACTGCCCCCCCCTTCCCCCACATCTTAAACCGGGATTTAGGATTTTTATCTCCAAAAGTAGAACAAAATTGGAGTCCAGTACTACTTTCCTGATTGTTCCCTGGAAGGCCAGATGCTGAAGCTCAAATACTTTGGCCATCAAATGAGAAGGAAGCACTCACTGTAGAAGACTCTGAGACTGGGAATGATTGAAGGTGCAAGAAGAAGGGGACGGCCAAGGATGAGATGGTTAGGCAGTGTTATCGATGCAGCAAACATGAAATTGAGCAGACTCCGGAGGGCGGCGGAGGACAGGAGGACCTGGCGTGATGTGGTCAATGGGGTCGCGAAGAGTCGGACTCAACTGTGCGACTGAACAACAACAAAGCACTTCCAAGACTGGAAAAAGTAAACGCTGGATCTACACAGACTGTCTATTATTTATTTATTTTTATCCCACCCTCCCTGCAAGCAGGCTCAGGGTGGGTTACAACATGCAATATATTGAACAAGGAATAAAACAGTTTAAACAACCTAAAAACAACTATTCCAAATCCCAACTCAAATCACAAGATGGCATTTTCAAAACTTATGGTGTCCAAAGTAAATAGAGGCATGAATAGTCCCAGTTCTCAGAGTGGTAGGATCGTTGCCATCAGTCTCAAACTGCCGCTTAAGCAGGAAGGGCCAGATCAATTGGACGTCCACTGCCTCAGCCAAAGGCCTGGCAGAATAGAGTTTTTTTGTTTTGTTTTTTAACAGAACTCCCCCAAATTCAGCATCAAATCACATCACATAAGCCAGGCCCACAGACTGAACCATGAAATAAACACAGAACCGGCACTTCATGGCACCATAATGGTGCAAAAACATGGATAGCCCTTCTACCACAGGACAACACAGCTACCCTCTGAAAGTGGCTTCATGAAAGTGAGCCCTTGATAAGGGGGTAAGGTAAGAATTTTCCCCAATCCCTGAACGAAACATCGGGTAGATCCATATTTCTCTGTCTCCCAGGACCAGGATATCAAATAGCGTCTTGAAATGGCACATAACTGTTGGAAGTGTACTGCAGAAAAGGTATTTAAAGGATGAGATCTAAACATCTGAGTGATACCATGAAGACAAACTTCACATCTTCAAGCCATAATATCCCAGCTGTCGGCTTAAGAGGCTCAGTAACAGAGATATGTACAAAACAATATACTCATTCAAATGAGTAACAACCACCTCACATGTCCTTGTTCAAGCTGCAGCACTTTGTGGAGTGGGGGCAATTCCCTCTAAGCTGTGGAGTCTTTGTGAGCAAAAATTCTACTTTGTGAGCTATTGGCATTAAAGTTGTGAGTGAGCAATTTGGCTACTGCATAAATTGGTTTGCTCTGGAGCCCTCCTTCACACAAAAATGTGTGAGCCGGAGGCTAAAAACTGAGCTAGCTCACACACAAGCCCTCACAACACGATAGACAATTTTTACTCAAGGTGGGTGAGAGCTGTAGAGGACAAATTACAACTATTTGCCCTTCAAGTTCACAGATCACAGGCCCACTGCTCCAGTAGTGGGGAACTGCAACAAGAGTTATGTCCCATCAAATTACTTATATACATTAGAATTCCCCAAACACCACAGAGCCTTCAATCTGGCCCATTTTCCATATGTACAACAACTCTGCCCATGTCTGTTTGGAATACTGGAAACAACTGAACATGTCCTCTTAATGCTGACGATTTTACTAGGGCATTTGGAATACCTACATTACCCCAACTCTGTCCAAATATCCAGGCGGATCAAGTGATTTTTATACTTTTGTCTCCTGGAGGGTTGGCAAGCAGCAAAAGCCTTCCCTGTGCATTTTTCCAGGTTTTTCTCTAGTCAGAGGAAGAAGTCTGCTCACTGGCACATCAGTGCACTTTCTTACAAATGCTAATGATTCCAGTAGGAAAGACAATGGGACGGGTAAGCCTTTCCCCTCCCTCTCCCCCTTCTCCAGCCAGGACACAGAGTCTGGAGGGCTTTAGGCTAGACCAGCCCCAGATACAATCTCCAGGAATGGACTGGAGTAAACGCTTCTTTGACCTGGCGTGACCTGATCAAGGGGACGGAGACAGAGTTAATAAAACTTCATTGTAAGGGGAAATTGGTCTCTATTCTTTGGGATGCTGAGCTGAACAGACCTCTCATCTGAGATTAGGAGCGGCCAGTCAGGGTGGCCTGGATGAATCACAAGCGGGAATTAAGATTGCTGGGGAAAAGATCAACAATCTCAGATATGCTGACGACACCACTCTAATGGCAGAAAGTGAAGAGGACCATAAGAGCCTCTTGCTCAGGGTCAAAGAGGAGAGCGCAAAAGTGGGCTTGAAGCTCAACATCAAAAAAACTAAGATCATGGCATCCGGCCCCATCACTCCTTGGCAAATAGAAGGGGAGGTCGTGGAAGTAGTGACAGACTTCACGTTCCTGAGATCCCAGATCACCGCAGACTGTGACAGTAGCCATGAAATTAAAAGACGCCTGCTCCTTGGGAGGAAAGCGATGGCGAACCTAAACTGCATGATAAAAAGTAGAGACATCACCCTGCCAACAAAAGTCCGCATGGTCAAAGCAATGGTATTCCCAGTAGTCATGTATGGCTGCGAGAGTTGGACTATAAGGAAGGCCGAGCGCCGAAGAATAGATTCTTTTGAACTATGGTGCTGGAGAAGACTCTTGAGAGTCCCTTGGACTGCAAAAAGATCAAATCAGTCAATCCTAAAAGAAATCAACCCTGACTGTTCCCTGGAAGGCCAGATAATGAAAATGAAGCTCTCTGACCGCAGCCAAAGTTTAATTCTGGGTGAAAGCTTTCGTGTGCATGCACACTTCATCAGCTATCTGATATCTGGGTTCTGATGAAATGTGCATGCACACGAAAGTTTATACCCAGAACTAAACTTTGTTGGTCTTAAAGGTGCCACGGGAAACACGCTTCAGACCAACACGGCTACCCACTCAAAGTAGAAGAAGATAGTCTGGCATTTAAATAATTGTACTGTTGTATATGTTTCCTGCAGCAACGCTTATGTGATCCCCAAAAACAAGGCTTTGATGGGTTTGTCGAGAGATCAAACAATGAAGTGTGAGAAATTTGGGGAGATTTTCTGAGTTGGAATGTGTCAGTGTTTTTGATGTACCTGTGCCAGTAATAAAATATGGGTGACTGGATGTTTGATGACCCTGCAATTGCTGGATGGGAGAAGATTGCAAATTGGGGTAAAAAGGGTCAGGAGCAAGGGAGAAAGAAGCAATATGTTTTCTTGGGAAACCCTTTGATCTAAAGTATGCGTCTCCTTGAGGAGGGGCCCTTAGTCAGCCTGCCCCTGATGTCACCTTCCAAAAACAGAAATATTCTCCCAGGCCTGTCTCTGGTTTGTCTCTTGCTGGCATCGATTTTGTGTGACATTTCAGGCCAAGCAGTGTCTTATAGTTATGGTTTTGGGGGGTGATATTAATGTGAAGGGTGTTTACCTTTATCTCTCTGTGCACGAACTGACCCTTCTGTGGGAGGAGGGGTCTGACTGCTAACAATTCTACTCAAATGAAAATATACCGGCTTTTGTACATCTGTTCCTATTTCATACATCTTTGTTCTCGAGCAATAACTTCCAATAGTTTGGCTAACTTGGAGAACCATGAATTAAAACAGATATTAACAGCAAGCATAAGGTGTAATCAGCCTATGCTGGATGGAGAGCTAGAGGATACCACCTAGAATCCTCTCTGCTGGCGTATCATGTAAATTGGTCTGTATCAGCAACTCACCTTAGTACATTTTTATACTAAACCAGCAGGGGCATAAACTGCAGGGGGCTCAAGCTCCACCCCCCCAGGGGACTTCCTGTAGAGGGCAGTGCCCCCCCACCCCCGGCTGCCAGGAAGCATCATGAAACTGCTTAGGCTTAAACTGTGCAGTCCCATCCTCTCCACTCATAAATAAGGTACCAATCCAGTTACGTTCTTTGGGACATTTA